TTGGTTTTCAGTGTTTTTGTGCTGGTTTTTTCTGATTCTTGAGACTGTTTTTGTTTGTTTCTTCCAGTTATTCAAATTTGTGTAGGACGGTGCAGAAACTGACGAATGTAATGAAACAGATGGATCCAGCAGATCCTTTTCGTATTCAAATGACTGATATTCTTTTGGAGAAGCTGTGAGTTTTACTTACCAGTGTGTACAATTTTAGAGCTTCTTACAAGCTTTGGCTCTAGATTTGTTGTTTTTGAACAATAGAGTTAACCATTTTCTGCAGCTTACAACCATGGGTGTTATTATGATATCTTTTTCTTATTACATAGCTCGAAGAGGTCGTGTTAGAGACCTCTGGTTGGTGGTTCTTTTTGTTAACTACCTTAATGAAAGATGAATTTAGGCTTCTTTCTACGTAAGCTTCTGTGTAGATTTCAGGGTTGGTTATCTTAGAGAATCGAGTGAGTCAGGGTTCTTGCATAATCGTTTTTGTCATTAGCTTTTATGTAGAACTAAGTTACTGTATAGATCTTTGAACTATGGATATAAAATCTGCTTATTTATAAGGAGCCATTCTACCGATTTTGTTGATTGTGTGGTTCCACTCTGCAGTAAGAAAACTTGTTTTCTTAATGGCTGAATGACTTGTGTTTTTTTTTCTATGTATGTTGAAATTGCAGATATAACATGGGTGTTATACCGACTAGGAAAAGCTTGGCTTTAACTGATCGGTTATCAGTTTCATCCTTCTGCAGGTAAGGTTTTACGTATGTAGTGCCTATATTTTGAGGTTTCTAGATTCTTTCTCCTACTAGTGATGAAGATTGCATGCTTGATTTCCCTCAAGAGCCAATGATTCTTGTTTCAATGGTCTCATGTCGGTTCTTTTTAATTTGCAGGCGTAGGCTATCGACTGTACTGGTTCACCTGAAGTATGCAGAGCACTTGAAAGAAGCTGTGACATACATAGAGCAAGGACACATTCGTGTCGGACCGGAAACAATTACTGATCCAGCTTTCTTAGTGACTCGGAACATGGAAGATTTCATCACTTGGGTTGATTCTTCCAAGATTAAACGGAAGGTGCTTCAGTACAATGATAAAATGGATGACTATGACATGATTGCTTAACTTTGAGGAGTTAAAATATTGTGTGATGTTATCTTGTTTTGTACAAGTCAAGAGAGGTTCAGTGTTTTCTTATGCAAGGTTTGGATTTGTTGGTTATGGTCTTTGGAATGTGGCAAATGTTTAAGCGTATTTAATAATAGTCTTTATTTTGTATCGTTTACTTTCAAAATAGAAAATGGTGAAACTCCAATAATATCGTTTTTATTTCACTTCCCCGATATTTTGTAAATAATTTTTTAATTTACAATTGCGATTTATGTGAGAAACCTGAAACCTTAGTTTAAGCTATATTTTTGTTATTTTATGTGACACCAAATTATAAGAAGTTGACGAGTGTTTTTTAGACTGATAATGTAATGATAATTACTTATTTTTTTACATGAAAATCGAATTTATCATTAAAGACGGACCAAACGGTGGTCCGACCCGACAGGACTTACCCGAATCGAGCCGAAAATTGTAAAACCTCTTCTCCTTTCTCCGTCTCTCTCGCTCGCTTAGAAGCTTCAAACGCATCTGAAATGGCGGTTCAGTCGAGTCGTAGTGCGTATTTTGGGATCAGAGTAGCTGCTTCACCTTCTCAGATACTCTCTACGAAACCCATAGCTCGAATCTCGCTATCAACGAAGCTCAAACCCTCCTCTCAACCTTCGATTTCATGCTCTATTTGGAATCATCCAGGTCAAATTCCGGCGAGACTCTCCGGTGTTATCAGTCCGGGAATATTCGCTTCTTCCAATCCTATCTTCTCTGATGAACCACCTGAATCGGAATCTTCTTCCCTTGGAAAGGTCAGTCATCGTCACCATGGAACCAAAATTGGGGTAGACAAAGTTGCAGTCGTTTTGTCATTTCAACGACCGTTTTTCCCGATAAAATATGGGAAATTGGAGACATAAAGGTTTAACTAACCGCATTGTAGATAGTATCATGCTCCTTAGATAACAAGTGATTACAGTTCGTTCCATTGAAGTGATGTCTAGTAAACACAACAAATCAGAAATCACCATAAGCTACATATGTATACATCTCCATATCCTAAATCTGGAGATGCATACATATATAACCTCCCTTATGCTCTGATTCGTTGTTGATTCTGATTCTGATACACTTTTGAGAGAAATGGTTTTAGGTTAAGCTCGTTTTCTTCTTCTTGTTATCCATGAACCCAAACCCAAGTTTCTTCTTTTTCTCTATCTGCTTGGTCGGTTTGATCACTCGTTTTCCGTTACAGAAGTTGTATGTATGTGCTTGTGAAACCTCCCTTATGTTGCTTCAATCTGAAATATTTTGTGAAAGAGGGAAGTCTCGATTTTTCTTCGTCTTATATGTGCGCTCAATCCGGAGTGTTTTTTGTTTCCGTCTCAATTGCAGAAGAAGCTGCGTGTGCTAGTGAAGCCGCTGGAGAAACCGAAGGTGGTATTAAAGTTTGTGTGGATGCAAAAGGACATAGGAGTTGCATTAGACCACATGATTCCAGGATTTGGAACAATCCCACTTAGTCCATACTACTTCTGGCCTAGGAAAGATGCTTGGGAAGAGCTCAAAGCTTTGTTAGAGAGCAAGCCTTGGATCTCTGAGCTTCATCGCGTCTTCCTCCTTAACCAAGCTACAGACATCATCAATCTTTGGCAATCAAGCGGTGGAGATTTTTCTTGAGACAGACATGTCAACGGACGCAAGCAACTCAACCAAAGGGGTTTATCATAGGCATTAATGGTCGCAATTTTTTGTAAGTCTAAAAGCTCTGTGTTGTCTACTGTGTCATTTGTCATTTGTGATGATGCTAAACTCTGTTCTTATGGATCATCGAAAACTCGAAAAGTTCATGTCTTGATAAGATTCAATGTTCATAGAGTATTCAAAATGACAGAATCGAAGAAAAATTAAACTGAAAAACTGCAAAAACAGATTTTTATCGTAAAATTTGCGCGGAAGAAGCTACAGAATTTTATGAATCGGTTTGCAGGTAAATTCAAGGGTGATTAAACAAAACTGAGATTACAAGAAACGAGATCAATCATGTGAAAGTTCAATCGAAGTACTTAGACATCTGAATACCTTTATGGATCAACCCACATTTCTCGTAGAAAGCTTTGTTCTCCACACTACAATCGAGAAGCACCTTGTAACAACCCATGGATCTGCAATGATCCATTAGAAACTCGACCACTTTCTTCCCCAGATGCTTCCCTCGAAACCTTGAATCCACAACAACGTCTTCGATGTGCCCAGTTTTCCCGCAATTCCTCAGGAACTTCTTCTCTATCATCACGCTTCCCGTCGCCGCGATTCTCCCCGACGACTCTTCTTCGATCACGCAGATCACGTGGTCGTCTCCGTACGAACTGATTTCATCGAATCGCCGATCGAATTCCTCGTCGGTTACTGATCCAACGACGGTGAGTTGACCTAGAAGCTCGATGAATCCCTTCCTCTTGTCAGAGATCTCTAATCTTCGGATCTTGAATGACTGATTCTCTCCTCCGATATCGGAATTAGTCGCCTCAGCCATAGCAGATCGGATAATTTTTTATAATAACTTTCGCCGATTGAAAGTGAAGATAACCAAAAAAAAAAAATATTTGCAAAAATGCAAAAATGTCATTTTTACTTTTAGCATATATTTGCAAAAATACCACTAATTATGATTTT